TATACAGTGTGGCCACAACTCGCCTGTCACTTGGGGAAAAGTAAAGACGAGTTGAAACTGGATTCAGGTGCTCGTATCAGACCAGACTGAATGGCCACACAAGCAGTCGCCACCTCCTCAGAAGCCCAAGGAGGGCGGGCAGGGCAGCGTGCCCTCAGTGGGCCCCCCAGCTCTTTCAACTGTCGGTCTTCAAGGCAGTTCATGGTCCCAGGTGGCTCTTAGCGCCCCAGCTTCACATTGCCACATCCATGGTCAGAGGAGGGCCCAGGGGAGGTGGAACAGTGCTTCTCCTGGCAGACTAGCTTCCTTGAAGTCATCTTTCTGGAGGTGCCACCCAACATGTCTGCTGAGTCTCCCTGGTCAGATCCAAGTCACATGGTCACACCCGCCTGCAGGAAGCTTGGGTACACTGCCACCCTGAATAAACTAGAGTCGTGTTGCTTAGCATGAAGGAGAGAACAGTTGTCATGTGCCAAGTGACAGTCTCTCATTCCTTTCATCAAGATAAACTCCAGGGGGCCAGCCCGTGGCCAAGTGGTTGACGTTCTGCACACTCCACTTCAGCAGCCTGAGTTTGCAGGTTCAGATCCTAGGCACGGACGTGCTCCACTCATCAGCCATGCTGTGCAGGCGTCCCACATACAAAGCAGAGGAAGACTGGCACAGATGTCAGCTCAGGGCTAATCTTCCTCAAGCAAAAAAAGAGGATTGGTAACGGATGTCAGCTCAGAGCTAATCTTCCTCACACACACACACAAAAAAGGTGAACTCCAGATAAACTGATGATTGATTATGAAAAAATAAAGTAAAAAAAGTAGTTAGGCTTGGGATAATGAAAATGATCTGGGACTAGATGGTGGTGATGGTTGACAACCTGTGAATATACTGATTTTATATTAGTATAGAAGAGAATGAATTTTATGGTTTGTGAATTACACCTCAAAGGAGGGGCAAAAATAGGTAAATATTTTTTTAAATCTTCAAATAGGGAAGGCCTAAGTATGACACAAAAAAACTTATGAGAAATTGCACATTTTGACTATTTCAAAATTTAAAATTTCCATATGGCAAAAAACAATGTGGACAAGTTAAAAAAAATAACCAGAAAAAAATATTTACAAAATATCAGAAAGACAAACATTTAATATCCATAACACGTAAGTTTTATAAAATAAGAATATATTAAATACCAAAAAAAATGGGCTACATATGTTTAATGATAATTCACAAAAGCAGAAATAGCTGCTAAAATTAAAAATGTCCCCTATTAGTTCTATTAAAAATTCCAAGAAAACCAATTAAATATTTGTGTCTCAGTACCACTACTGTGAAAGACTGGTGCAATGCAGTGCTAGCTAGAGAAAGCCATCCTTGCATGCTGTTGATGGGAGTATGTATTGATACGGTCTTTCTGGAACTAGTTTGGAAATGTGCATTGTCTTGGATCCAGAACTTTCATTTCTAGGAATTACGTGAATTTGTGATTTATTATAAGACATATATATTTGGTCTTCCTCCCCATTCCTGGGATAGAGCTCCTAAAACTCGTTCAATTTCTTAAGTGATACGAGTGATAAAGGTGTCTTTGATATTTATAACAAGCCCCTTTCAACCACACGTCAGCTTCTGTAAATGAGGTGACTTTTGGAAAGTCCCACAGGATGGCCAGGGGAACCAGCCAAGTGATTAGAGGGTTGGGACGTTCAGTCCCACTCTCCTGACCTCTGCGGAGGGAAGAGGGGCTGGCGGTTGAGCCATCGCTGATGGCCCATGATTTAATCAATCATGTTGATGTAACGAAGCCTCCGTAAAAAACCCTAAGTGAAGGGGTTCAGAGAGCTTCCGGGCTGGTGAACACTAGAGGCACCGGGAGGGGGGCGCCTGGAGAGCACATGGGAGCTCTGTGCCCTTCCCACATGCCCGGCCCTGTGCCTCTCCTCCATCCAGCTGTTAATAAACCAGTAACCTAGTGAGAAACTGATTTTCAGAGTTCTGTGAGCTCCTCTAGCAAACCACCAACCCCGAGGAGGGGCTGTAGAAACCCCTGACTGCAGCGGGTTGGTTGGAAGCACCAGTGACAACCTGTACTTGGGATTGGCATCTGAAGTGGGGTGGGGGACCAGTCTTGCGGACTGAGCCCTTAACCTGTGGGGTCTGCACTAACTCCACGTGGATAGTGTCAGCATTGAATTGAACTGTAGGACACCCAGGTGGTGTCCACAGAGAGTTGGAGAATTGCTTGGTGTAGGAAAAACCCATACACATTTGGTGACCAGAAGTGAAGTACTGAGAGTAGAGAACAGAAAAAGGAGTTTTTCAGTACAAATTTCTAAGGAGACAGAACAGTATACTAACATATCTGTAGAAAGCTATTCGTTAGTACTTACTGTAGTTAGAACTTGGGAATAAACTAGAGACCATTACTAAGGAGTTGGTTAAAATAGTGGTCCGCACGCACCCAGAGGAACACCAAGAGCCATCCCATGTAGTGACGTAAATCTACATCCACTGGAGGGAAGGAAGTCCACAGACAAAGGAGGTCACACACATACAACACTATCCTGTGGTGGCGTTTGGTCTGTCACCGAGCAACTACATGGAATGACAATGGCAGACACATTTAAACACTGAAATTTAAGAATCAGATTAGGTGAATCAAGGGAAACATTTCAATAACCCAATGCCATTGCCCTTTGCAGACTTACATTTGGCTTCTAATTCAAAGACAAAGCCACATAAGGAAACGAATGTTTGACACATCTAGACTTTCAAGCATAACCAAATAAAACATAATCAGCACGTAGAGACTCAAAAATGTTTTCTTGCTTGTTACAAGCTTTTAATATAGACAACATCAATCCAAAATCCTCATCGTAATTTAAGACACTATGATTTAGGAAATTACAGTAAATGAAAAACTTCCATTAAGGTACTGAGGACTCAGTCTGAAAAGCCTCCTATGAACTAGACAAATGCTGTGTGACTTCTAAGGAGGTGGCCTCAGTTGTTTCTCCACAGTCCCCACTGTTAAAAATTTAAAACGATTATTTCAGTCCCTTATAGTATCTGCTACAACTAATTGTGACATTACCTTAAAAATGTCAAGGAACTATAAGAGAACATTTAAATAAATTATTTAAAATAACAGCTAACACTTACTGAGCACCTGACACTTCAGGCACTGGGCTAGCGTCTGGCCCGTCAGGCGTGGTCAGGGGGTGGACATGTCAAAGCCAGGCAGATATAAAAGCCACCCAGCTCCCACTGCACAGCACACATGGCACACAGACGTGACTTTTTCTCCCCGTGAGGTCTGGTCACTACGGCTGCTGTTTCCTAATACTTTCCCATAACCCCAGGCACTGCCCCATTTTACACCTGGGGAGCAGAATGAGGAAATCCTGAGAAGCTGAGGCCCAGGATGCGTGAGGCTCTGGCCAGCTTGCCCCGGAGCTCAGCGTCCCCAGCCCCAGGCCCGTGCTCTGAACCAGTAAGCACAGTGCTCGCGGCGGCTCCGTCTATACCCTCCCCAAACATGGAGCATGCTGGCACGCCAGGAGACGGAGGCTGAGAGCTGTGACAAGCAGAGCAGAACCCTGCTCTTAAACAACCTCTCCAAAACTGTTTTTCTTCCTTTCAAGGCAATCGAGCCGAACTCTTAAAACCCAAGTATCTCACCCTGTCCTCTTACCTGGTCCACTGTCCTCACCAAGACAGGGTGACAATTCTAAAACAAGTCCCTTTACTCGGTTCTTAAAGGAACTAAAGATGTTCTGATCTTAGATAAGGCTCTCCCATCCAGTCATGGAGCACTCCCGTATGAAAATAGGTGCTTTTGTCTCATAGGCTATAATTGACAAGTAAAAGATATCTGAGAAGCAATACATATAAAATGGTTAGTGGTAGGGACTCAGGAGTCAGCCAGCCAGCCCAGGGTTCAAATCCCAAGTCCTGTGGGTCCTTGGGCATGTTACTTAACCTCTCTGTGCTTTAGCTTCCTCATCTGCAAAGTGGGAATAACAGTCCCTCCCTCACAGAGTTATCATGAGGATTAAATAAGTGACATAATTAAATAAATACACACGCACATACATAAAGAATGTCAGAACACCACCTGGCACAGAGAAGCACTATTGAAGTGCTTGCTGCTGCTATTGTTGCTGCTGGTACCATGTTAAAGCACCAAGTCCCTTTTGCAAGCTATATACATAAAATTGGTCTGTTAGAAACACATCTTAGATATGTATTTATGTTATCTGAATAATTAAATGTTTAGCTGCATTTATCTAGAAAGAAGTAAGTTTGCTTGAGTTTATAAGGCCTGGAAATACGGAAACTGGGGCTCTGCCACTTTTTCAATCCCCTATCAGCACATAAGACAACTAGGAAGAGAGACAGTGTTTAAACACTTGATTATATTTTCTGATGAATGATTCATTATCTGGTTTTTGAAAATTCTGAACCAGCTGATGGGAATCACTAAGAAATCATAAAGCCCCACACCAGGCAGGGGCGAGACTGGACTGGTACTGATCTGGTTCACAGCCAGTTCTTCAATTCACTAGTTGGGTGACCTCAGGCAAACGTCCTAATCTTGGTGTGTTCTGGCCTCTCATCTGTAAAGTGAGGGGATGCATTTTCCCATCTTCCAGGTGATCCAACGGTGAGAACTAGAGCAGAGAATGTCCCCACCCCCGTCCCCACTTCAAAGTCTGAGGAGATGCCAAAGTAAGGACTAAAAAGGAAAAAAAAAGTGAATCAGACTGAATTAAAGATAGGGTAAGCAAGAGAGAAGGTAAGCAGAAACTCTGAATACGGAAACATAAGCAGGGGAAGAGATAGGCATTGGCATCGGCAATAATATCTTTGTCATCTCATTCTCCAATTCTACTGTTAGGCCAATACAGAAAAAATCGTGAAGAATTTCAAGAGGCTGTGACAGCAAAGGTGCAGAATCAATAGAACAGCTATGGTAGTATCCCACAGCTTCGACTCTCAGGTATCATCGTCTGTAAGCAGTACATTCTTTTAATAATAGCTTTTCAAAGGAAAAGACATTACAACATTCACATAGCGTTTTCAGTAACCGATAAAACTCTCCTCTGTCAGATGCACAGCGCACGTGTGAATCTCTGCCTCCCCACATTCAGGCACCAGAGCCCCTTCTGTTGCACTGCAGTCCTCAGAAGTCACGCACATCGGGTGCTGCTGCCCCGCTCTTCCTAACCCGCGCCTGTCGACCTCTTCAGGACACTTAGAAGAGCACAACACCAAAGTCAAATCTGAGAATAACAGTGTTTTGTCTGAATTTCCTATTTGATTACATTTCAACTTGTAAAATTTTTACCTAATTTAAGTATACAGAATTGGAAGTCAAATAACTTCTCTCAAAAACTAGCTCCCAGCTTTACTCCTTCAACCACGTAGTTTTGAAGTTTTATAATCCATTTTTTAGTTTTGGCAATTTCTACTGATTTTAGTTACATTTTTTGCAATGTAACAAGTAATTTGCATACACTTTTGCTTCAGTGATATTTATAATAATGAATTTTACCTGAACAATATTCAAAAGCCAGAAAAAGGTCTCTGTATTCATTCATCTTTCAACTGGATTCCAGAGTCATGTTTACCAAAGTTTCCCATCCCTTAGTGGGTCAGCAAATGACTTGGCGGTTTGTGTCTAGTATTTTGAAAAATAAGAACAAAATAGAACAGAAAATGCCAGCATGCATTCCACATAGTAAAAGCAGGCACTATTTTGTTAAATTTTTGTTTATACGTGTAGAAGCACGTGTGTCTGTGTGTACAGCTTACACTGTCAAACATACTTCTTCCTCTAGTCAAAAAGCTTGAAAGCCACTGGTGTAATTGTGTCTGTCACTGAATTAGCCCGATGCTGACGGCACCCGCTCTTCAGAGAACTCGGGATTAAGCTGTCCAGACCAGTTAGGTGTGGCTCAGTCCTTCTATAGGAGAAATTAGAGACATCAAACAAATCTAAATAACTCACACAAATAAGATAACACACATTTCAGTTATTGATGCTGCATTGTAGGTTGCAAGAAATTGATCTACCAGTAACTCCTTAACAAAAAGAGAGAGAAAAATATCTACTTCTTCCTCAATTCGACATTCTGCCAGAATAATCACTGCCCTTCATAGAACTGAAATGAAGTTTTCTATGTATATCCTTAAGTTTCAGACATGATGGTATTTAAGACAAAAAAAAGCCTATTTGAGTGCTTGTAAACCAAAATAGGAAATCACTTTTTGTAAAACTTTAATTTCTAAGACATTTAAAAAGTCACACTAAAAGTATCTCATAGAAACAAACAAGACCGACAGATAATTTGTAAACAAAACACTCTAAACAAAAATAATTTACCAGTGCATCCAAATATCATTTTAAAAGTAACATCATACCAGTATTTTTTAAAGTTTAACAAGTCAGTACTGCATAAAAAAATTATCGTAAGAATTCTGCTTGTATACATTAAATACTGTGCTAACAACAAAGAAAACCACATAGGGCTTTCAGACAATGTAAGCCTATGTTACTGCAGACTGAGTGGTGACTGAGGCCACAGGGAGGTCTGCTGGGCTCCAGCAAAGTGAGGCAGATGGCGATGCCCCTGAGATCAGGTGTAGACGCACCTTTCAGGCATCCGAAAGTCAAAACCACACGGAAGGGTTCATCCTTATCCACTAATCAACCCCTCAGTGTGGCAGTGAAGGAGCTAACATCAGTGTGTGTTTGTGTGTGTAATTTTCACATAAAGTCTCATATTGAGAGCAGGTCTGTTCTTATATAGAATGTACATAAAGTTAAGTAAATATTAAATCTAAGAAATATCTTGGAAAGTCAGTAAAAATCATTACAAATGCTATCTGTAAAATTTACAATTTAAAATAATTTATTTAAATATTGCAGAACCAATTAAGGATAAGAATTGGCTAACTCTCCTCAAGAAACTTTGTAACTACAGTGCCCAGGGCCCTTTTAAGACTGATTCCGGGGAGCACTGCATTTAACTCAGTCACTGATGTACTGCGGTCCAATCAGAAGGGAAATGGAAGGTCAGAACCCCTCTGACCGCTGGCATCTGGAGCTCTCACGGCAAGTCTGGCTGCGTCCTCCTTCACTAGCACACCAGCTGCAATAAAGGGAAGACCCCAAGGCGCCTGTCCTTACCAGTCCTCACGTGCTTGGGCTCAGTGTGCTGCCACCCATTTCTGCCATAGGTTTCATACAGCCAGCCTCCAGCATGTGTCCAATAGAAACACCTGCATTTAGAGTCGGTCTCTCACTCAAGATTCTTATGTTACGTGACCAGGAATATACAAGCTGTCTGTGGGGCCTCAAGTGATGGTAATTATGCCACAGACTGAGTATATAACCACCTGTATTTCTTTCCATAAAAGGCATCTGAGACCCAAGGTTCAAAACCGTCTCTCCATGTGATGTGTATCCTCTGTTTCAACAGCAGTGAAGGCGCATCCAATAAGAGCTTTAGGAATTTATAATACACTCCACTGCTTATTAATCCAAACCAGGCTTAAGTCCTCAGATGGAAAGAAACTTTCAAATAAGCGGAGCTGATACAGACACTGAAAAGTTTAATATCTTACTCGAAAATTTCAGACATCTCACAAATACCCAGGAACTCTTCCTCTGGATGTGCCCTGAAATTGGTAGAAGTTAAAACGGATACTCTTTTATTTAAAGAAGTTTCTTTCTCTTCTCCTCTTGATCTGGTCTGCTCAAAGTATGGACTGCAAGCAAGTTTCAGTAAAAAAATCAAAGCTTGAAATTAATTAATGTTGAAATAGGTATAATTACCAGAGAAATTAGAAAGCAGCCAACTTTTATTAAGTTTTTCAGTATGCAGTAGATCTTATGCTGAGAAATTTACCAATACTAGACTGGGGGTATTTACTGAGTATTGTTTAGAATCACAAAATCTTCTTTTATTTTAAAACTAAGCTGCATTTTAATAAGAAGAGAAGCTCAGAAGGAAATGTAGACCTACAAATAAAAACTAAGTATATTCCATGAAACTTACAAATATACAGATTAACTTTTCTTATTTTGGCTTTAAGTGGAAATTTTTTATGTCAAATATATACAGCCTGTTTTTCATAAATTTCCCCCAAGAAAACCTTTAAATTCAACAATTTAAGAAAAATGTTCTTTTACTTTTGTCTGAACACAGACAATCTATTGCCATACACATAGTGCATATGATCATATGTATTTATAGAGACTGCATAACTCTAAGTTCTGTGCAAATGGGCCTACCTCATATTTTTGCATGCACAATTTTCGATACTCTATCCTAGTGGATGGTAACACAGTGTAATTTTATAGTTTTTATTCAGTCAAGAAACCATCCCAAGAATTATTTACAATTTAATAACTGAATGATTATCAGATGCATGATACACTGCAAAACTATTCTTACATTGTGAATGCTGATCCTGTGCGTTTTTGGTGTTAAACGGGTAACTTTTATAAGTCTGAGGTTTAAATTGACATATACAAAAGTAACCAAAGCCTGAAGAATGTGGCAAAAAAAGGAGCTGCTACCACAGAGCATTTATATTTATAACGGACACAGGAGTACAGGGAATTAAGGGATTTTTGAAAAAAATGATTAAAAATATGGAGTGTACATATAGCCTATAAGGCAAAATCTAAGTTCCAAGTGTACTCAACACTGGCAACTCCATTATGAGCAGTAACACTGAAGTGTATGCACACACACTGCCAGAGAACTGGTTCCCACGATTCCCACCACAGTGCACTTCACTGCACAGTAGAAGGTACTCCAGGGGCGTCTACCAAGGCTCACGTTTGAAAAGAATCTCCTGTTTTTCCCTTGACTCAAAGTCCAATCAATATCATTCATAACAGAAATCAGAACTATGCTTTTGGGTTTTTTTTAAGGAAGTGAAAAATATAATCTGCAACCATTACAGTTCTAACGCACCCACTATAATGATAATCTATCAACACGGATTTTTTGCAGAACTTTCACTCACATCCAAGTACCAAGGAAGCCTTTCATGTAGCCTTCTACATTTTGAATAAAACACATAATCGGATTTAAGTGAATCCTTAGAAAGCTCCAAAGTCTGCCTTTTCTAACATTCTCAGATGGGTGATTGTATCAACAGATGCAAGCAGATGTGTCCACAGAAGAATGTGCTGCCCAAGGAACCTGCATTTGGCTGGAAACTACAGGGTCCACCACAAAGTTAAATTGAAAGAAGACCTGTGATGGCCAAGTTCTTAGTAGACTATGAAAAAATGACAGGCTCAGGCCCTAACTGCGAAGCCCAGTCAGTGTGACGCGTTCCTGACTGACAGGAATGTCGTGAGTTTGGGACTCTCGGGGCTCTTGATTGCAGAGTGCTGCTGTGTGTCTTACAGTGCTTTCTGATGCCCGTTTGCAGAAGGCTTTGTTGTTTCTGAATCCCGTGAAGTATCTGATAAGTGAAGTTTATGAAGGCCTGCAGGAAAATGAAGAAAATGGTGAGGAATGCCGTATTGTTGAGTGGTTGAGCAAAGGGTCCGGAGGAGACTAACAAGGCAGAACATGACGTGTTACTGTGCAAAGTGTGATGCACTGGCCAGACCCCCTTTACGATGAAAGACCTCTTCCCCACTGGCAGCTCCTCGGGGAGGCCTAAGCTGAAGACAGTGCCCATCAGGAAGTCATGCCTTCTCCTCAAGTCAGTGCAGCTCTGGGGACCAGCCCTTTGTCACAACGTCCCATAGGGCCAGCTGAGGCCTCTGGTGAGATGCATGTAGCCACTTCCTCTCTCCTCCCCTGCCCTGCCATCTGCATTGATCCCAGGAGTGCCCTCTAATAAACCTCCTCCTGCAGGCTTATTGCCATCCCAAAGTGCACTTCCCAGGGAACCCAACCTGAGACAAGTATGACCCCATTTTTGTTAAAATACACACAGACATATATACACACAGGAAAACATATGGAAGGACACACCAAAATATTAACATGTAAAAAGAAAAAGCAAAACTTTACCAAAAAGAAAGGGCAAAAGAACAAATTGAACATAAATTTCATTACCCAAAGATACTTCACAGAATAAAAAATGATCACTCTTTTTAAGTGATATTAATTTCCCTCTACATCATACAGCAATTATTTACATAATATACCAGATATATAAAACAATATCGTGCCCCCACGGGGAGAAAAGGTGGAAGAAAGCTCAAGAGTTTATATGGCACTAAAGCTCCAAGCACTTTAATAAAATGAAGCACAAAAATGTTCAAGAACACAAAAGCAGAAATCTATGGAAAAGATTTTGAGGAAACAATTTTTATGAGGCTCAGACCTTTGTGATACTTCAAAAACATACTTGAATAAGATTATTTTTCCCCTAAAATTCCAGATGGTTATCTACCTGTTATGCAATTTTACACCAGTCTTAAACCAACATAGCACTCCAAATTTTAAAATTTCTATCACCTGCATATCTTAATGAAAGAAAATGTAAAATTGAGCCTGTCTGTGCTGGATGATTGGGAAGGAAAAAAGCAAGCAATCCAACATAGTTCTGGTCTCAGGAAAGGCCATGCTGCTGAGTGACAATAGGAGCCCACCGCTGTTAGAGGTGGGAAGAGTGTCGAACAGGGCCTGCTGGAGAGGGAAGTGGGCAGAGGGAACCAGGGAGGTGAGCGGCACCCTAACTGAAGCGGAATCCCCTTTTAAGATAGCTTATTTCAGCTAGTTACTGCGAACCCCTGGAGCAGGGCAGGCTACGCACTCTGAAAAACTACAGTGTCTCCCTTGTGCAGTGACAACCGCCGCCTCCACACCCCGCAGCTAAATTCTGAGTGTTCACTATGTGCAAGATACTCTATGACACGGGTACTGTTACTGTCAATGGACAGAGCAGCAGAGGGGAAAAGCCTACAGAAAAAGAGAGAAAAGGAAGGAGATAGTTAAATTTTATAATCAAATTATGATTCCCAGTGAAATCATCTTAAGATCTCAGATCATTCAAACATTCTATGTACTTAATGGGGATCTTTTTCTATGTGTAAGACATTGCTGCCTTGGAGCATTCCAAAAAGTACAAGAAATCACTTCAAAAGAATCTAAATCTATCAATTAAAAAGTTTTACACAGGGCCAGCCAGACGGCCTAGTGGTTAAAGTTCTCGCTCTGCACCTCAGCAGCCTGGGTTCACTCCAGTCGTGGAACCACACCACCTATCAGCTGCCACGCTGTGGTGGCAGCCCACACAGAAGAACTCGAAGGACTACAACTAGGATATACAACCATGCACCGGGGCTTTGGGGAGAAGGGAAAAAAAAGAAAGTCAATTTACAAAGCAAATAAAAAATTTCATAAAAAAGTTTTACACAACTCTTAATAACTGCACTGCCTCTCATGATCAACGAGCTGACACAACAAACGTGACCTTCTCCTGAGGTTAAGTTATATTTTACTACTTTAATAAAAGCTTCCTGAGCAAGAGGAGATCCAGGATACCTAACTCAAATGCTAAACTGGCTGCCATTCATTCACAATCATCTCATTTTAGTGAGTGGTAAGTGGGGATTTATCTGAGACTACGGCTAGCTAATCTTGCTGATGCTACAACAGGCTTAAAAATGAAGTTGTAACTCTAGACATTTGGCTGAAAGGACTATTTGATTCCCACTCCATCCTGCAGATGGTAATCGGGCCAGTATGATGAATCCAGACATTAAAATCCATAAATTACCTGATGCTTCAACTGAAATGAAACCTAACTTTTCCCTTTCAGGCCAATATTTCATCAGCCACCCCCTCAAAAGGTGAATTTAAAGTAAAATACATATGAATAGATAATCTGAAATCTTTTTTCCCTTCCCAAAGGTCACCCTTCAATGATCAGGTCTGGAAAGGCTCAGTGGTGTGCGAGGCCTTACCGTTGCTCATAGGGTTTAAGTTATCTGAACACAGGACCTTAATGAATTGATCATTACGTTGCCTTCTGCAGTAGCTAAAAGCCACAATGGAATATGAAGTATAAGCATTCAAATGATATCAATTCAAGTAAATGAGCTAACATAAGGACTTGCTACAATAAATCACTGCCTATCCCTTCTTTCATTATAAAATTACATATCCCAAACCCAAGAAGATTTATATAGCAAGATAGTCTATATTGTCCTGGTATTCCTAAAATATAAAGCCTGAAATATATTTAGTACTAATATTGAAGCAAGCATAAAAAATACATTCATAGATTACATTTATAACCTTTATATGTTAGACAAACCTAAGAGTTTTCAATACTGTCACAATGCATATAACTCACAGAATACATGATAATGAATGCCCTCTCTCCTATTAATGCCAAGAATACTAATATTTTTATCCTGAATTATTATTTGGCTTAGTGAAGAGAATTATGGGTCAGTCTGATACTTGTAAAACCCAAGCCTCAAAAAATCTTTAACTAAAAAATAGCAAGTGGTATCATTACCGAAAAATAAGCCTTTAGCCTATTATCATCTTCACCTCTCCACAATCACCATCATCATAACAATAAAAAGAGCTAATATTTACTGAGCTCTTAAAATGTGCCAAGACTATGCTCAGGCCCTTACGAGAATGATTTCAACTTATACTCACAACAGTCCCCAAAACAAGAAATTATCACCATTTTACAGATGAGGACCCCAAGGCTTAATGACATAATTTTACAGAAGAGGATAACCAGTAAGAAGTGGGTCAGAAATGTGACCTCTAAGGTTTTACACATTTGGAAAAATGATTAGGTGAAGACTTAAAATGAACTCACATGTCAAAACTATTAATTAGTAGAAAGAGAGAAAAATACCCATAACCCTCAGGATTACCTAGGGCCTTGAAAAGTTCTTCTCGTACAGCAGAGGTGAATTTTCTGACCAGACACAATGTTGTCACAATAGCAAAAAGCAAATTGTAGGATAACACAATATAGAAATTTCCCAGCCAATTAAACCTTCCAAAGTCTCCAAGCAGATCAAATCTAGTGATTCCTGTTAAAACAAATAAAATAGCCCTTAATAAAATCAGGTATGATATATTTATAAAGGTTACAAAATAAAGTACAAATCAGATCAAACTCCACGAACTTTCTCATTCCTGTTAGTGGGCATCCTAGTTTAACATACACAATTGTTATCTCATGGGACACCCTCAGCCAACCCTAAACCCCTTTACCAGCATGCCACAGTCACGTGGAAGTTAGGAGCAATGAGGCTGGAACGAGTGCCCTGTCACTCAGAATTGACTCCTACATGGACAAGAAACCTCCCATCCTGCTCACAGGAGAGGATGGGCGCAGCAATGCTCCACGGAAATAGGAAAGACAGCTGACAAACCCCCACCACTTGTCCCCTTTCTTCAAACAGGTCCCTGTTCAACTGTCACCTCCACGGAGAGGGCACCTGTTTCCTCTACCTAAAATAGCTGGACCCTCCATGGCCCTCTATCCTAATTATGTTTCTCATAGCACACATTACCTGAAATATTTCTTTTCCTTTTTGGCCTATTTGTTGCCTACCTTCCTTACCAGAATGTAAGTTCTATAAGAATGAGGACTTCATCTTTTTCACTCCTATAATCCCAATGCCCAAAGCAATGCCTTGCACATAGTTAATACTTATTACATAAATGAATAAACATATAGGGTGATTCCTTTCCAGGAAAAAAAAAAAACATTATTAATCTGAATGCTACATTAAGCTGGATGGTACAGGCTCGTGGAGTAAAATGGCAAAGCTGAAAATGCAGTGTAGGTCTATCACCTATGCATTTAGGTTACTTCAATTCACCTATACACATTCTTTTAACAGTCTTTTTATTTAGAAAAATAATTTAAACAGGCATTCTATTCAACGAGCATGTGCCGTGGGCCCGATACTCACTGGAAAGCATGTGTGAGTGGCAGGACTTTTCTGACCACTGGTAAATAAATACAGAAGTAAAACAGCACTAAGTGGGCTGTCAAGTGAGAGATGGCGGGGTTGTGGATGTTCTTCAAGGAAGAAGCTCAACAGCTACTTGGGGCCATACAAGTTCTAACCACAAAGGACTGCACACACAAATCATGTGCTTTTGTTTTATGGGTGGTCTAAGGATCTCAAGAATAACTTTGATAGGGGCCAGCCCCGTGGCCAAGCGGTTAAGTTTGCGCGCTCCACTGTGGCGGCCCAGGGTTTCAACGGTTTGGATCCTGGGTGCGGACACGGCACCACTCATCAGGCCATGCTGAGGCGGCGTCCCACATGGCACAACTGGAAGGACGCACAACTAAAATATACAACTATGTACTGGGGGGCTTTGGGGAGAAGAAGGAAAAATAAAAAAAAATCTTTAAAAAAAAGAACTTTGATAAACTCAATTTCACCTTATCAGCTGCCTTTGAACTTAACCCTCATCCCCACCACCCCAAGGCAATCCCATCACCCACCAAAGGGATACACTCCACAAAAGCAGCTTATAGAAACAAACAGAAAAACCTTCATATCTAAACAGTGTCGTAAAAAATAGGAGGTTTCAAAAAGCAGTTCTTTCATAGCCACATCTACCCAGGGCCAATGTATTTGAGTTTGAGAGACAATAATCTACCAAAATATTTTAAAAAGATAGAAGACTAATGAAAACATACAACAAAGTAACTTGTTAAAGAAGGTGAAAGGGACCCAGACCACAGTGTCATATGTGGCACAGGTCACACATCATGAAAGCACGGCAACACTCGTGGCTGCAGTTTCTCAGATGGAAGCCTTCATAAAACTACACTTTGTTAAAAGGAATACATACACCCAGTTATATATTTTATTTTTCAAATCAAGTACCATTTAATTTAACCTAGGAAGTTACTGTAAACAAGATATAGTTATTCCAAAACAAACTTCAGTGGTTTCAGCCCAGGGATCCCAAATAAGTCTTTTAGTTGATCTTTAGGGTCAAAGACTCCTTTGAGGTGGCTGGCCTGGTGGCACAGCGGTTAAGAGTGAAGTTGGGCCAGAATGTACTTGCACAGTGAGAACGAAAGGTATACTATGAACACTAGGAAAGTGATTTCACTAGAACTTGTGAGTGGACTCAATTTAGTATCTGGAGAGTCAGGGTCAAGACCTGATTTGAAATAGCAGGCAAGAGCAATCTCTCTCATTAGATGTTTGGGTCCCCAGGACATCTCAGGTTGACCTCACAGACAGAAATCCAAGAGCCTGCTGCACTAAGGCACTAGACTAACTATTACATTATAGGCACTAGTTCTAAAGACATGTTGTTTCAAAGTTAATTCAATATTTTAAAAATCTAATACTGACTGACTAAAAGATTACTCTGGACAATATGCACAGCTCTTCAATTATGGAAATCTTCTCTAAGACTGAACAGCAAGAAACCTTAAACAATCACTTCTCTAAACTTCTGTCTGAGAGGTTTTTGTCACGGCAATAATTAAATTGTAGAGTGTTCTTTTCTATTAAAAGCACCAACACTAGGCGCCAGCTTGGTGGCGCAGCGGTTAAGTTGGAACCTTCTGCTTTGGCAGCCAAGGGTTTGCCGGTTCGGATCCTGGATGCAGACCTACACACCACTTGTCAAGCCATGCTGTGGCAGGCGTCCCAAATATAAAGTAGAGGAAGATGGGCATGGATGTTAACTCAGGGCCAGTCTTCCTCAGCAAAAAGAGGAGGATTGGCAGCAGACGTTAGCTCAGGGCTAATCTTCCTCAAAAAAAAAGAAAGCACCAACACTTAAGAAAAAGTAACAGTTAAAGTTTTAACTGAACACTTATTATATGCATACCTCTTTTTATTGTGCTTAGCTTTACTGCATTTCACAGATACTGCATTTTTTACAAATCGAAGGTCTGTGGCAACCCTGCATCGAGTAAGTCTACCAGTGCCGTTTCTCCAATAGTGTGTGCTCATTTCATGTCTCTGCGTCACATTTTGGTAATTCTCTCAATATTTCAAACTTTTTTACTTTTATTATATTTGTTACGGTGATCTGTGATCAGTGATCTTTATGTTACTCCTGCAATTGCTTTGGGCTCCACAAACTGCTCCCATATAAGACGGTGAACTTAATCCGTAAACGTGTGTGTTCTGACTGCTCCACCGACTGGCTGTTCTCCGTCTCTCCCTCTCCTGGGCTTCCCTGTTCCCTGAGACACAGCAATATTGAAATTAGGCCAAGTAATAACCCTACAATGGCCTCAGAGTGTTCAAGTGAAAGGAATAGTCACACATCTTTCATTTTGAATCAAAAGCTAGAAATGATAAAGCTTAGTGAGGAAGTCATGTCGAAAGCCAAAACAGGCCGAAAGCTAGGCCTCTTGTGCCAAACAGTCAAGCTGTGAACGCAAAGGAAAAGTTCTTGAAGGAAGTTAAAAGTGCTACTCCAGTGAACACACGAATGATAAGAAAGCAAATAGCCTATTGCTGCCGTGGAGAAAGTTTCAGTGGTCCGGACAGAAGATCAAACCTGCCACAGCATTCCCTTAAGCCAAAGCCCAGTCCAGAGCAAGGCCCTGGCTCTCTTCAATTCTGCGAAGGCTGAGAGAGGGGAGGAAGCTGCAGAAGAAAAGTCTGAAGCTGGCAGAGGTTGGTTCGTGAGGTTTAAGGAAAGAAGCGTCCCCAGAACACAAAAGTGCAGGTGGAGCAGCAAGTGCTGACGTAGCCGCTGCAGCCAGACGTCCGGAAGATCCAGCTAAGATCACTGATGAAGGTGGCCGCACTGGCAGATTCTCCATGAGGATGGAACAGCCTTAGTGGAGGAGGATGCCGCCTAGGACTTCCATAGCTGGAGAGGAGAGGTCAACGCCTGGCTTCAAAGCTTCAAAGGACAGGCTGACTCTCTTGTTAGGAGTTAATGCAGCTGGTTTGAGTTGAAGCCAATGCTCACTTAGTGTTCTGAAAATCCTAGGGCCCTTAAGGACTATGTTAAATCTACTCTGCCTGTGCTCTATAAATGGAACAACAAAGACTGGATGACAGCACATCTGTTTACAACATGTTTTACAGCCTATTTTAAGCCCACTGTTGAGACCTACTACTCAAAAAAAAATATTCCTTTCAAAATATTACTGCTCACTGATGATGCTCCTGGTCACCCAAGATTCTGATGGAGATGCACAATGAGATTGATGTTGTTTGCATGCCTGCTAACACAACATCCACTCTGCAGCCCATGGATCAAGGAGTAATTTCAACTTTCAAGTCTTCTTATTTAAGAAAGACATTTCATAAGGCTGTAGATTACACAGTGATTCCTCTCGTGGATCTTGGTAAAGTAAGTTGGAAACCCTCTGGAAAGGATTCACCATTCTAGATGCCATTAAGAACATTCGTGATTCATGGGAAGATGTCAAAACATCAACATTAACAAGAGTCTGGAAGAAGCTGATTTCAACCCTCCCGGATGACTTTGAGGGGTTCAAGGCTTCAGTGGAGGAAGTAACTGCAGATGTGGTGGAAACAGCAAGAGAACTAGAATTAGAAGTGGAGCCTGAAGACGTGACTGAATTGCTGCAATCTCATGATACAACTTTAACAGATGAGGATTTGCTTCTTATGGACAAAGGAAGTGGTTTCTTGAGATGAAATCTACTGGTGAAGATGCAGTGAAGGTTGTTGAAATGACAGCAAGGGATTTAGAATATGACGTAAACTTAGCTGATAAAGCAGCAGCAGCAGCAGGGCTTGAGAGCACTAACTCCAATTTTGAAAGAAGTTCTGCTGTGGGCAAAACGCTATCAAACAGCATCACACGCCACACAGAAATCATTAGTGAAAGGAAGAGTCGATCGATGCTGCAAATTTCACTGTTGACTTATTTTAAGAAATCCCACAGCCACCCCAGCCTTCAGCAACCACCACCTTGATCAGTCAGCAGCCATCAACATGGAGGCAAGACCCTCCACCAGCGAAAAGATTACAACTTGCTGATGGCTCAGATGATGGTTAGCATTTTTTAGTAATGAAGTATTTTTTAGACGTAATGCGATTGCATACTT